ATGATAAAGAATGACACACGCGCACACGCACCGTCACAGCCACATCTGGACTTCCCTCAGCGAGGTGTTTTGTCACACTTGGCCACCCCCCACCGAAAAAATTTCTAGCTGCGCTCTTGAACACATTAACTTCTTCTTGATAGGCTGGTAGGCAGAAAGGGTGTGTAAATTTGGACCACGGTCACATCGTGGGCCTTTGATCTGACAGCACTTTGTGCGTTCTAATGCAGAGCCTCGAAAACCTTTTTGGGAAGATCAATAAGAGACTGGCGGTAAAAATGTGTGACCGGAGATAAAGTGTGCATTAGTGTGCGAGCGAGATGCGTTGAAGGACAAGAAGGATGCATGCACGTGCTGGTGGATGGACTGGTGAATCTGATCCATTGATGGATGATTCATGCACTGAGAAAAAAAAAAAAAGTTTTTGTTGAATTTATTGAATTTGATTTATATAAAATTATATAAATCAAATCACCTGGATGCAGCTATTTCTTTATTTATTATTTTTTTTAAAGTAAGCGATACATCTACGAATAGAAATGTATCCGGATACAGATGATTTTCTTTTGGCCAACCACCATAAAGTTCAAGTAAATTCCACAATTTTTTTTTTTCAATATGGATGGATGTGTTGATCAATTGATATATTTATTGGGGGTGGAACGATTCACAAAATTCATGCATAATTCAGATCACAATCTTGTGCTCACGATTTCAGTTTGGTTCTATCCGAAGTACGTCTTTATGACTTGATTTTTTTTTTTTTTAATTCACATGATAGGATAAAGAAGGTTCTGAACACGGCTGGCATTGAATGTGTTAAAGGCCTGAGAGTTGAGAACAATTGACTTTTACAACCTCATTTGGTACGCTGCGGATTCTGAAAATGACGTTGCTCGGTTTTGTCACTGAGTTTAGTCTTTAGTGTCGTTTTTGGTCGACAAAGACGGATGGATTGGCAGGTGTGAGCGTATGGATTGCGGATTGATTGGAAATGCTTCTTGAAGGGGGTATTCGTCGAAAAGACGGATCGGTGGCCAAGAGCCGGAAAAACTGGTGTTGGATATAATTGGTGGACAAAACGGAAGAACGAATGACTCGTGTTGGTTTTGTGACAATTTTTGATCCGACAATCGAACGCTGTCCTTCTTGATATTTTGAACTTTTAACTTCACATCTCGCATTTAATGTTGTGCCATGTTTTTAGTTCTTTTTTTTTTTTTTTCTTCTGAACATCTTCACAAGATCCTCTGATCTCCTCTCGCCAGGAGACCCGACTAGTTTTCGATCCAGAATGTTGTAATGAATGAATAGATGTGCAGTGGCAGGGAGTCTGAACATAGTTCCAACTGACAGCTCGTCTTTGAAGGCGACCGCGAGCGCCTTGAAAGGAGAAACCGCCACATCAGTGGAGATTATCAAGTCGCGGCACTTTGCATCCCCTGCTGTGGGACTGTGATCCAGCTCCAGGATACGAGACTCTCGTGCGATCAGAAAAGCTTTTTCCTCGCCATGTGCCCGACATGAACACGCTGACGGTGCAAGACCGAAAATACTTCAGAAAGTGGCTGGGTCAGTTTGGCTCGGTTTGATTGTTTCTTTTTTGATCACCGTTGGCTGGTTTCACCTGAAAGTGTCTTTAGTGAAAATTTTTAAGCTACGCAAAGTATTCCAAATGCAGACGTTCTGAAAAGTGTCCACCCCCTCTACTGCGGACATCCTAAAATAATCCAAAATGAAGTCCGGTTTGAGTCAATGAAGACTAGATGTTTAATCATGCAAACGCAACCAAAACACTTCTGAGCAACAGCACATCAAAAGGACCTTGAGATCGTTCGGTGGTAGTGAAGGGCTGACGCTTGTGAAATGATGACATTTCAATTACAGCTGGAGCCCAACATTTCGACAAAATCGGCTTGTGCCACAGAGAGCACTTTTCCGTGGAAATGACTTCAATTACGCATCGTGAGCGACGCGTGAATGTCATGTCTTGACTTGACTTGATGATTTTCAGGTAATTCACTTGCCGCCGGAACAAGCTGAACCTTGCGGTACACAGCGAGCAAATTGTCCTTTTGACGCCTCACCAAGAACTTTTTCTGTCCAGGCCATTGAGGGTGGAGAAGCGTTTTTTTCAGGTCGTCAGGCTGGATATGAGCCGCCGCTCTGCTTCTGCATTGGCTTGGAGCTGCCCACTTGCCTGATTTAGCGCCTGACGTTAACGCGTGGCTGTTTGCAAATGAGACGTCCTGGTTGCTGATTTAAGATCAGCTTTTTTTTTTTTTTTTTTTTTTTAATGGTCAGGACTGGCTGCGCTTAGCGATTGTGGGCACCGGGCCACAAAGCTGCTGTCGCCATCGTTATGCCGCAATTAGAACGCGTTGTGGCAGTTGCGTCCTCGCCGCTCTGTGTGATGTCGTGTTGATTTAGGCCAGAATCTTCTCTTTGTGCTCTTTTGGAAATATCCTTGGATGCCACAAGGTGGGGCCAAAGACGCACTGCGACTTTATGTTCCCGTTATCCCGAAATGTTAGCTAACGCAAATCTGTGCATCCAATAACACTGCAGCTCAACTTTATTTGGGCCTTAACATGAGGACGATTCCGCGTATTCTGACTTTCACTTCCAAAGAAAGAAAATAGCATGTCTTTGCCAAGGTGTCTGCTAAGTGTCAGTCGCGGGAGCTTTTGAATTCATATGAGCAGCTTGCCTAAAAATGCATTTCCGGCTTGGGCGACTCCAAATGTAAAACGGTGACTTCGGCAAACATCACAACATCAGGTCACTCTCGGCTCATTCGTTTGATACTCTGCCAGACTGTCCATCGATATTTTTAATTAAAGATCATATTGCAAATTTTTGCGACCGCCGGCACCTGATGACCTTGAACTTGATAAGCGATATTGAAAATAGATGGATGGATGGATGGATGGATGTAGACAAAACCCAAAAGTCCATCCTCGCCTTTGAAGTTTCTATTGCTACATCACTTTTTTTTCAGCTTTCAACCCTCTGACTGAAGCACCAGAGAGATGCTTGTGATGGCACTGCATAAACTACTCTGCCTTTTGTGTCGCTCTCACCTTCCAATAGATTGTCGTTCCATACACACACACACACACACACACACACACACACACACACACACACACACACACACACACACACACTCTCTCTGATTAGCAGTGCATCCACTTCAAAGCAGCAAGCGCACTCACCACTCTCACCTTCTCCCACACTCCAACAGGAAAAAAAAAAAGGAATCATGTGGAAAGCTTCAATACTGCACGGTCCAGTTTGCTCATATATGGTTTCCTGAACCGCCGTTGTGGTATTCGTCGCGCACTTGTCCGTGCCACTTTCAAATATGGCTGTCTTGAAGAAAAGAAAAAAACCTAAACAAACGAACAAACAAAAAAAACTATAAGTAACATGTTTCTTTTTTAAATAAACCAAATGATAGTTGAGCGATGGCACCAAAAAATAATGCATTGCACACTCTCTGAGAATGAGAAAAAAACTGAGAATGCTTAATTGTACGCAATTAAAATAATTACATTGAAGCTGTTTAATCATGTAACCGCAAATGCTCCAGTAACTATCGTGCAATGTGTCACGGAAAAAATCGATCCATTTCACGTCATTTTTCCAGAAATTATTCTTGACTGATTCCAAAAATATCTTTGTTCATCTTTCTATGGCAGCAACAAGTTTGCTTCAGTTAGATGACAGAAGGTACAATGCATCCACCTGTTGCCATTCATTCAACAATCAGTCATGGCTTCCTGGGAGAATCTCAGCTTTGTGTTGAAATAAACGGGACCGGATTACACATGGCAAATTGGTGCCGTGATGAACTCCAGCTTCTTTCATCTTAGGCAGCTGGCTTAAGTTAAGCCTCTCCTTTGAAACAGTCATTCGTGCCTTCGTCACACCTCGGCTGGATGACTGTAATGCACTTTACTTTAGAGTCAGTCAATCCTCCATAAAGCGTCTCCAGTTGGTCCAAAATGCTGCTGCTCGCCTCTTGGCTGGGACTCGTAAGAGGGAGCGCATCACTCCTTCTCTGGCTCCCGATAAATCTTCGAGTTCTTTTGAAGATTCTGTTATTTGTTTCCAAACCTTTAAATGGCCTCGCCCCATCTTACCTCTCTGAGCTCCTCCGCCCCTACGCACCTACCCGGTGCCCCAGGTCTGCAAACCGAACACTATTAGAGGTACCGAGAACTAAGCGGAGGCTTTTGACTCAGCATGAGACTTGATTTTTAATTTGACGGTTTTTGTCCTTTCTGCTGTTTGTTAATGTATTGTTTTATTTTTTGTTGCTGGATGAATAATGTTTGCTCCGTGTACCGCACTTTGTATACTGCTGAGGTTGTTTTAAAGTGCTTTAGAAATACACTTGATCTGAGTGCAGTTAAAAAGCTTTTGAATCAATTTTTTCTAAAAGCGAGGCCTTGATTAGCATTAAAATGGTCTTAAATGAATCTTTCAAAAATCTCAACACATTAACACGGTAGGCTTTTATGATTGTAAATGATTTCAAACAAAAAAATTATTCTCTTTTAAAAAAATACATCACGACTCTCGCGGTTACATCGCGCAATCATGACAGTGGAAGCAACAGAGCACTGATGTGCTTTGAGTCGGCACTCCAAGGACCAGATTGGGAAGTTGGTCTTGAATTTCATTGCAAATCGCACTTGCCTTATACGGTATCAACCACGCAGTGCATCATTATGAGATGAGGTCATTCAATTTTCCAATATTTTGTGACACTTTGGTTGGGTGCTGGGACACATTTCGAATGGAAAACGGCTGACTTGGATCAACAAACGTTGGGACACACTGCACGTGTAAACGAAAAAAAAATAGATGCACAGTATAATCATTAATGATGACAAACGCATGATTCTCTCTCTCCCTCCCTCCCTCCCACCCTCCCTCTCTGTCTGTTTCTCTCTCCCTCCTTCTTATGCATCTCCCTCCATCACCACCAGGGGCTTTTCTCTCAAATCTCTCCGGGCCGAGAGAGGCTTGCCTCGTCCTGCCCCAGACGCGCGGCGTGCGTGGATGCGAAGACAGGAGGGGACGCACGCGGGCGACTCTGAAGCCCGCCAGCACACGGGATATCGTACATATTCGCCACCCCCCTCACAGAAGAGGGGCACGCACAGCCCGGTTCCGAGTCGGACGCAAAGGTAAGCAAGCACTTTGGGGATGCGCGCGCGACGATCTGGCGTGCGCGTTTGCGTGCGGAAGGCGCGCGGAACATGTTCGTCACTTGTTGCCACTTGGGCTTCACCGCAGCTCGCGTGCGTTGAGATGTCGCGAAGTGAGACTCGCGGTGTCAAGGGATGGCAAATATGAACACCAGCAAGCGTCTTCCGTGTCTCCCTCGCACACCGCGAGGAGCTCAAGTGCGCGTTGCAGCCACTTGATGCAGCCCAGCAGGGGATGCGTTTTGCTCGGGCAACTTGGACGCTCGCCGCCGAGCGCTCCTCCGACCACGGCGGCCAAAAGCCGCGGAGCAAACGGCGACAGACTGGCAAAAGTCCCCGCCTTCACGTGCAACTGGCTGCTGTTTCATCAAAAAAAAAAAAAAAAAAAAATCGCCCTGGCGGAAAACAAACAGGAAAGCAAAGCTGTCACGTTGCTGCGCTGCAAGCGGCGCGCACATGAGTGAGCGTCATTAGTCGCGTGTTGCAAGTTAATGCGCCGCTAATGTCATGTTTGATTAGCACGGGAAGTATTTTATGCCGCAGTCGTGGCTGCTTCTCTTTTTATTTTCCACCTTTGGCATGGAGTGGCTCCTCGCTGCGCTGGATGACATGTACACACTGGAGGCCACTCATTCCAGTGGGTGACTTGCTTCTTTTGACTCTTACGACTTGTGACCTTGGCAAAGGTTAAAAATGTTCATGTACTCCATCGGGGTGCATGCACTCTTCAAGTGGGGGTCAAATGTGCCCTCTACAGTATTGTATGTATGTGTGTGTGTGTGTGTGTGTGTGTGTGTGTGTGTGTGTGTTCGCGCTCTGTACTTAAGATGAGCCAAGTGCTCTACAGGGAAAAAAAAGGGAGAGAAATGTCCCCATATGGAGGTGATCGATGGCTCTAACTCTCCAATTAGGTGTGGGAATCCGTCAGCGGTGGAAGACCGTGACCTTTTATTGAACCTTGTTTCAATGGTTTCTTGGCAAGTTAGTCTCAGCAAAGACGTACAAAAAAAACAACAAGTAACAAAAAACATAATCACCTTAAAATTAGGGCAAACGACGGTGTTAGAATGTTATTTTTAATACATTATATCCATTTTATTGGCTCCTGTCCCAAGTCGAAGTCGAGCTCAAATCCCCACGTTGTGCTCTGATTGTTTTGTATGATTTTTCTATGAAATAATGAAGGTGACTTTGCCTGGGATGAGGGTACACAATTACATGAGTACGTCTAAAGTAAGTGGAAGTATTACGTCAATTGTTTGAACGCATTGTCAGGTATCTGGTCTGATAGGCTCCTAACTCGCTGGTCTTATAGACCCATTGTTTAAGCAGCGTGTACATTATTAGGATGCCATGGAGCAGTAACCCAGATGGCAGAAAGGGCCGATTGTAATTTATGTCACTAAAAAAAAAAAAAAAATCCTTTAAGATGCTGCCAATTCCAAGGAAGGCAGTATCTCTCATGCCCATAAATCAAAGGCCCACGCAGCAGGAATCTCACTTTCCTACAGCACTTATGATAGTATTAAGCTACTTGTCCACAAGTTTAATTCGATGTACTTTGTAAGTCTGCTCACAGAGAGTCGACAGATTTATGTCCTTGCCAGTAATACAGGCAGATGCGGCTCTCCTGAGAGAGAAAACAGAGGGAGGGAGGGAAAAAAATCATTTAAAGCAGCCCACAGTTGTGAAGACATTGATTACCGTTTACCAAGCTGCAACATCAATGCCACGTTAAAGGAAAGGCGGTGGCGCGATAGTGTGCGATTAGAGCCAGGGGGGCCACTGACAGACGACAGTGGCGCGGCAATAAAGAGGGCGGATACAGCGGTGAACCGGGTGGGACACCGCAAGACCACCCCCCCCCCCAACCAACCCAAAATGTCAAGTCCTTGAATCGTATCGCACTCCATGAATGGCAAACCATATTGAATTGTCTTTTATTGGAGAGCTGCACACCCCGACTAAACAGCGATTATCAGTTTGACACTTTTGATCCATGTGGCAGCAGCAGGTTGTAGAATGACTTCTTCTGTGTTGTTTTCACAGCAGTTTTTGCCTTTCCTGTCTTTCAGTGAAGTGCATGATCTGTTAAACTGATAGGAAGGTGGCAGCGGAAGTGCAATTAATGTTGAAACAACAATAATAACAGAAGAAAAAAAAATGGCGTGTTCTGGAGCAGTGGTCTCCAACCACCAGACCGTGGACTGGTACCCTCCGTACCAAGCCGCACAGATTTATTTAAGAAAAAGGAAAAAAGAAAAAAAAGGTCAGTCGGACCATGAAACAGACTGCGGCGGAAAAAACAGGTTGGTGCCCACTGTTCTGGCGATAGTACAGCTAAATCGAATTTGGGACGACGAACGAAAAACAACAAAGACAAAAGACGGAGGCAAATGAAAGCGCGGAATCATACAAAATAAAACTCAAACGAGATGGGCGGAGAAACAGCCAAAGGAAGACGCCAACTAAGAAGTATGCGCACGGAATTCAGCCGACGCTAGGCTAGAAATGCTAAAAGACGACATGAACGCAATTACGGAGGTACTTCGACGAACAAGTTATCGAACTTATGAGTTTTGGGTGATATGTGGCATCGTATATCAATTTTATTTATTTTTTGTCATTATTGCGAACAAAAATGAGTTCCAAACAAAATCAACAGTCATGAGGTCGAGCAATGGCGGCAGGCGAAGTAACAAACAACAACAGTTGGAGGTACTTCGACGAACAAGTTATCGAACTTATGAGTTTTGGGTGATACGTGGTATCGTATATCAATTTTATTTAATTAATTTTTTGTCATTAATTGCGAACAAAAATGAGTTCCAAACAAAATCAACAGTCATGAGGTCGAGCAATGGCGGCAGGCGACGTAACAACAAGCAGCAGTTTAGCAGATGCCAAATGCTTGCTCCAAACTCTTTATTGCCCACTCACTTTAAGTTTACTTTAAATCCAAAAGTGAAACTAAGAAAGTTACACTGGTATTGAGCCACACCACATAACCTTACCTTATAACAAGTCTACTGGCTAAATGCTAACGCAAAATACCATACCTGAGCTCTTGAAGCTAGCATGAATGTGGTAATTATGAAACTTTAAAAAGTGTATATTTTAACTTAAACAGTAACAACACATGCAGAAAGAGCGTATAACAATACTCACAAGCATATATTCTTTATGCTCTGCAAAGAATGCTGATTAGTATTTCAACTTAAATGAGATGGTCTAACTAGCTAACCCCCCCCAAATTTTTTTTAAATAGCGTACAGACAGTTGATGCTGCTACATCAGTTATATGCTACATACCGTATTACATCTGCACATTTAGAAGCTTCCAAACGCTTAAATGAGGCACCCTTGTGTTCGCCTCGTGCCCGGGCTAAAGGTCACACGCTTTGAGATGCACGTGCAAATGAAAGATAACAATTTCCCGCCATATGTCTCGTATTCATCGCTGACACTGCAATCGCGCTTTGATGTAATGCTAATGACATGATGATACATTCGCATTTTCAAAGCGGCTTTAAACCCGCCCCGGTGCACAGTTGAACAGCATGTGAGTGACACCGTTGCGTAATCCCAACTACTGTATGCCAACAACAACAAAAAAGAACAACACGACGCGACAGCGACAAGGATGAGACAGCTGCCGAGTCCATCTGTCCTGCGCGTGATGCTGCGAAATCTGTTGCTAAGCGCTCGCTCGTATCAGGCTTCAACCATCAGCGCAGAGTTCACAACACACGCAATCTGAGCCGTCCATTCAATCATCCAAGGGCAATTTCACTGAACCGAGTTCTTCAAGACCGAATATCGGATTTCTTCAGAACTACCTTGCAAAAGAGACTTTTCAACATCTGTTGTGTGGATGGCAATGGGCGGATGCAGAGCTTGTGTCTTCCACCTGTCACGATACGTCGCTGGCATAGATAGTCGACCAAAGATTCATTATTGTAGTACATAAATCGTGGGGGAATGTGGTTGTTGCTGCATCATAGGAAGTGCTCCCGTGGCCAGACTCTGGCTGTCACTTGAAAGTGGCTTTGGAACTTCACCAAGTTGTGAGAGAGACAACATGAGCACATGTGACAGGAAAAAACTGGTGGAGTTGTGTGGCCCTGAATCATACTTGGATCATTTTAATATGTGCGCGCGCTTTTGAGTAAGTACTCGGAAGAGCACGTTGGATCTTATTGATTGCCACTGTTGCTCATTTAACGCTCCGTTGTCACGTACTTCCTTCGTCTGCATTTCCACGGATGTGCATTTCCTCGAGGCGGGAAGTGTCGCTTCATCTCTGGGAATGAGCGCCCATATTCGGCCTCAGCTGCCCGGTGGGCTCGGCTGCGCATGACTTGGTTTTAGACCTCTCCGCGCTGGACATGGAAGACCAGCTGCTTTGTAAACAGCCACTTGTTCACCCGGACGTCATGGTTCACAGAGTCTCCTCATCCTCCCGGGAGGAGGTCCGCACTAACTTTGCCGTAGAGCTCATGTTGTGGTGCGCCGCGTTTCTGCATGGCTGCCAACTCGGAAGGTGTGAAGGCTGCCAAGGTGGGGCAGGTCATCCGTTTTTTTTTTTTTTTTATAAGCAACAGTCAAGATTACTCCTCCACACCCCCCACCCCCCACTATGTGCTCCCTACAGATATTAATGGTCATTTAAAGGCGACATATTATGCAAAATGCACTATTTAATGACCGATATGGAAATAGCTGATTCTCTGGAGCGCTTGTCAACTCGTCAAGTGTGAAATTAAACATAACTTGCAGTACCTGCTATAATAACCCCGCACTGTGTTTTCCACCGATGACATGATGAGTTGGGCAGGACAAAGATGCCGAGCCCCTTTCGAGCAACAGCCAACTTGAATGCTTGTGAAGTTGCCCGCGCAACTGTCGGCTGATATTTCGGCTCCACAGACACAGAGAGTGTTGCGTATGAAGTGCTACCTTGCTATTTTTGTCTCGCT